CACCCTCTACTCAGTGGTCTGCTCTACCCTGGACTACAGGTAATAACATGGTTATAACACATTATAACACCCTCTACTCAGTGGTCTGCTCTACCCTGGACTGCAGGTAATAACATGGTTATAACACATTATAACACCCTCTACTCAGTGGTCTGCTCTACCCTGGACTGCAGGTAATAACATGGTTATAACACATTATAACACCCTCTACTCAGTGGTCTGCTCTACCCTGGACTACAGGTAATAACATGGTTATAACACATTATAACACCCTCTACTCAGTGGTCTGCTCTACCCTGGACTACAGGTAATAACATGGTTATAACACATTATAACACCCTCTACTCAGTGGTCTGCTCTACCCTGGACTACAGGTAATACCATGGTTATAACACATTATAACACCCTCTACTCAGTGGTCTGCTCTACCCTGGACTACAGGTATACCATGGTTATAACACATTATAACACCCTCTACTCAGTGGTCTGCTCTACCCTGGACTACAGGTAATAACATGGTTATAACACATTATAACACCCTCTACTCAGTGGTCTGCTCTACCCTGGACTACAGGTAATAACATGGTTATAACACATTATAACACCCTCTACTCAGTGGTCTGCTCTACCCTGGACTACAGGTAATAACATGGTTATAACACATTATAACACCCTCTACTCAGTGGTCTGCTCTACCCTGGACTACAGGTAATAACATGGTTATAACACATTATAACACCCTCTACTCAGTGGTCTGCTCTACCCTGGACTACAGGTATAACATGGTTATAACACCACCTCTACTCAGTGGTCTGCTCTACCCTGGACTACGATCAGGTTTATTTATACAGGTTTAATAATATAACGTTTGTACCCCTTTGCCCCTTCTAGGCTCTAGATGAGGAGTACTGAAATAGATGCCCAGTTTGAAGGAGTCGATCAGAGAATCTTACCCTGCTGAAGGTCCCTGAGCCTCTACCTGTTGTTACTACTGGCTGAAAAGTACCCTGAGCCTCTGACTGTTGTTACTAATGGCTGAGAAGGTACCCTGAGCCTCTACCTGTTGTTACTACTGGCTGAGAAGGTACCCTGAGCCTTCTGACCTGTTGTTACTACTGGCTGAAGGACCTGAGCCTTCTGACTTTGTTACTACTGCTGAAAGGTACCCTGGCCTTCGACCTGTTGTTTACTACTGGCTGAGAAGGTACCCTGAGCCTTCTACCTTGTACTACTGGTGAGAAGTACCCTGAGCTTCTGACCTGTTGTTACTACTGGCTGAGAAGGTACCCTGAGCCTTCTGACCTTTGTTACTACTGGCTGAGAAGGTACCTGACCTTCTGACCTGTTGTACTATGGCTGAGAAGGTACCCTGAGCCTTCTGACCTGTTGTTACTACTGGCTGAGAAGGTACCCTGAGCCTTCTGACCTGTTGTTACTACTGGCTGAGAAGGTACCCTGGACCTTCTGACCTGTTGTTACTACTGGCTGAGAAGGTACCCTGAGCCTTCTGACCTGTTGTTACTACTGGCTGAGAAGGTACCCTGAGCCTTCTGACCTGTTGTTACTACTGGCTGAGAAGGTACCCTGAGCCTTCTGACCTGTTGTTACTACTGGCTGAGAAGGTACCCTGAGCCTTCTGACCTGTTGTTACTACTGGCTGAGAAGGTACCCTGAGCCTTCTGACCTGTTGTTACTACTGGCTGAGAAGGTACCCTGAGCCTTTTGACCTGTTCTTGCACTGTCAGCACTGTCCTCTTGTAGAGAAAGCTGTTTTTAGATTAAATTAATGAATTGTGCAACTGGGAAATTAAGAAATTACTGTGATGGTTTTGTATAATGTATGAGTTCTGAAAATCCCTCTCTCACTCCTCTCTGTCTGTCTGTCTGTCTGTCTGTCTGTCTGTCTGTCTGTCTGTCTGTCTGTCTGTCTGTCTGTCTGTCTGTCTGTCTCTCCATCCCTCCAGTACCTGCCCTCTCTGGGTTATGCTAAGCGTTCCCATCTGATGAACCCCATGGTACCAGGACTGACTGGCGCCAAGATGAGCTCTTCAGAGGAGGTGAGTGGCCCTGTCACAATATTTTTATGATTATAATGCATCCCTTCCTTCCTTCCTTCCTCTTCTTTTGGAGATAATTATTTTGAGCAATCCCAAACTGACACAGCCCTGGGTTGTATTCATTAGGACAGATAGTAGCAAAACGTTTTGCAGCAGAAAATGAAAATAAACGTTTCTTATTGGACAGGTTCAGGTAGTTCTTCCCTGTTTGTCTGTTTTCTTCCGGTTGGTACCTAATGAACGTGGCCCTGTGTGTTTCCTGTTGACCTCTGCAGGAGTCTAAAATTGACCTCCTGGACAGGAAGGAGGATGTCAAGAAGAAGCTGAAGAAGGCTTTCTGTGAGCCGGGCAACATCGAGAACAACGGAGTCCTCTCCTTCGTTAAACATGTCCTCTTCCCACTCATAGGAGGTAAGTAAGCCCCTCTCTCCTTTTCTGTTCTCTTCCCCCTCTCTTCCCCCTCTCTTCTCCTTCATCAAAAGCATGTCCTCTTCCCCCTGGTCGGAGGTGAGTTGGTCTCTACCTCCTTTTACTCCTCTTCTGTCCTCCTTTCTTCATCTCTCCTCCTCTTCCCTCTGTTCTCTTCCGTTTAGCCCTTATCTCTGGATACTCCCTGTAGGAGCCGTTTTGGCCTGATTATATGTTGTGTATATGTTGTCTGACATTGATTCGCCTTGATTTGGTCTTATGTAACAGAATTTGAAATTGTGTTTTTTACATTGGATAAAAGTATCAAACACTGCAGTTGAGGAACAATGTGAAAATAATTCTGCTTTGAAAGTTGATAAACTTGTAACTCCACTTTTTGAGAAAATGTCCCTTGAATGTTTTGGTCCACGTACTGGAGAGCTCTTCTTTGTCTCCACCCATTCAGCATCGTTCACGCCCTCTTAAGCCTTAGCCCCACCCATCTCTTTACGGATTCACATGTGAGGCCATGTGGTAAACACACACTATATCAAATAAAAATCTATGTTTATTTGTCACATGCACAGGATACAGAAGGTGTAAACGGTACACTGAAATGGTTACTTGCATAGTAGCAATATCAAAAACAGAAAGTGTCCAGATAAAAATATCTTATAATTATTAGATGACGCTTGCCCGACACACTTTGTCTAAATTGATGGATCATGTGAAAGAAATGCTGTAACCACTCCCCCAGCCACATCTAGCTAAGTGGACGGGTCACTATTGTCTAGACATGGACACAATGTTCATGAAATACAATAGATGACCGTAATCACCCCCAGACACACCTGGCTAACTAGACGGGTCATGTGATCATCCGGCCGAAGTGGAATCTTTTGTTTACACTTCTAGCTAGCTAAACAATGAACCGGCATAATTCCAACTCATACTACTATCACCAATACATTTACATTGTCATTGCTGTAGTATGAATCTGCAGGTAGCTAAAGCTAACAAACTAGGTTCAATGTTAGCTAGCAAACATTGGGCTATAACTAGCAATGCAAATGCATTTCTGATTTGAATAATATTACTACACAGATCATACACGTAACGTTAGCTAGCGAGCAGGCAAGCTAACGTTAGCTAGCTAACTAACAGTACGCTTTAACTTGCAATAAAAACAACTTTCTGACAAAATTAGAAACGTATATCTGAAAATGTAGCAAGACTCTTACCCGTATACATGGATGAACGCTTTACGGCAGACTGGAACCATTTAACTCAGTTTTGTTTGTAGCTACATCTTGTTTGGCCAGCATTGTGTCAAGTCACTCCGGTTCTCACTGACCTTGGCATGTGCAGAAAGTAGCCCATCACTTTTTCCAGCTGATCTGTCGATAGCACCTGCTAAACTCAGGGCATCAATGTTGTTGAGAAAAGTAGCAAAACATTTGTAGTTCTCGATGGCTAACGTTATATCTTTCAAAACCGCGTGGTAGAAAAGACTATCAACACATACTGACCAGCTCACGTTATAGACAGAAGCACGCTACATGGCAGACCAATCCAAACTCATCTCCCGGCATGTCCAGCCCATCCATTATCTCGACCAATCATGGCTAGTGGGAAGGTTCCTGTCTTTTTCCGTGGCTAAACAAACTAGGCTCATAATTTAACAATTGTATTCGTATTTATGGATGGAATACAAGTTTGTTATTAAGGCACATGAAAGTTCACATGTTCCAGAAGGCATTTCTGCCAAAAAAAACACATTTTGATCAAAAAATTAATATTTACGTACAAATGGCTCTCCTGTGAAGTGGTGACGTGCGACATACGCCTAGTTTCCTGAAACTAGTCACATTTTAACTTGTTTTGTACACTAGAGGGCACGATATGTTGGGGTCAGGGGTCATGGGTCACGTGTGTATATAGGTAGCACAGGTGACCAGGAAGGGTTAGCACAGGTCAGAGAGGGCATACAGTTATTACCTTATCACAGGTACAGCTCATAGAATGCATCTCTCTGCACTTTTTGTATAGACGTGTGTCACGGATTTAGCCGAGGCTGCTCCTCCTCCTTGCTCGGGCAGGCTTCGGCGTTCGTCGTCCCCGGAGTACTAGCTGCCACCGATCTAGGTTTCAGCAATCATCTAGATTGGTCTGCTTTGTGTACACCTGTTTCCCATTAGTGTTGATGGATTCCCTTTATATACCCCTGTCTGTCATTCGTTTGTTGTGTGTGATTGTTCTCCGTTTGTTTTCGGCAGGACTGTGTATTGCGATTATTGTCCCTCCCTGGTTTTGGAGGTTTTGTTGTTTTGTACTTTTCATTACGTTTATTAGTAAAGTACATCTGCCAGTCTCTCGGTGTCCTGCGCTTGACTTCGTTCACCGCATACACGTTTATCCTGACAACGTGTGTATTGTAGCTATTATTCTATGAGCAATAAATGGGAACTTCACCCGAAAAGAGTAACGTTTGGAAAGCTGATTCTTGTGGACGCGTTATGGAAGGCTCTCTCTCCTGTGCCAGTGGCTTTTCATAGGTAATCGCTATTACACTCCCCCTACAGTCCTCCTCCTCCCCCTACAGTCCTCCTCCTCCCCCTACAGTCCTCCTCCTCCCCCTACAGTCCTCCTCCTCCCCCTACAGTCCTCCTCCTCCCCCTACAGTCCTCCTCCTCCCCCTACAGTCCTCCTGTGCCAGGCACCGGCCAGAGTCAGCAGGTCTGTGTTGCATCTCTTTCAGAGTTCTCCATTAAAAGAGACCCCAAGTTCGGAGGAGACAAAACCTACACAGACTTTGAGGAGGTGGAGAAAGAATTTGGCGAAGAGGTACATATATGGTCATGATGTATGACCACTGTTGTTGGCCCATCATGCATTTGGTTTGACCTCTAACCTCTGACCTCTAGCTGATCCATCCTGGTGACCTGAAGGCGGGCGTGGAGGTGGCCCTCAACAAGCTGCTGGACCCAATCAGGAAGAAGTTTGAATCTCCAGAGCTCCGTGAACTCTCCAACACGGCCTATCCAGACCCATCAAAGAACAGTCAGTAGAACCTACTGTTACCAACCGCTCATCACCGTAAACCTCAAGGCTTCCTAAAGTAGACCTATAGGAGACTGTTCCTCCAGAACCTTGACCCTTGACCCTTGACCCTGTGTGTCTCTATGTCTCCCTGTCAGAAGGAGCAGGGAAGGGGAACTCTAAAGCAGCAGAAGGGGATGAGCTGGTTCCCTCCAGATTGGACATCAGGGTGGGCAAGGTCCTCAGTGTGGAGAAGGTACTCGTTCATTCTTTGATTTATCTTTATTTAAACCAGGAAATCCCTTTTAAGAGAAATGGACTTCATGTATTTCCTTCTCTTCACTGATTGGTCTTGCTCTCTCTCTCTGTCCCTGCCTTCCTCAGCATCCTGATGCTGATTCGCTGTACCTGGAGAAGATTGACGTTGGGGAGGCAGAGCCAAGGACAGTGGTGAGCGGCCTGGTGGCCTACGTTTCCCAGGAGGCCTTGCAGGATCGGCTGGTGTTGTTGCTATGCAACCTGAAGCCCCAGAAGATGAGGGGGGTGGAGTCCCAAGCCATGCTGCTCTGTGCCTCCATGTGAGTCTTTCCTTCCTTTTCTCCTCTTTTCTTACTTCTGCTCCTTCTTTTCCCACCAGTCTCCTCTCTCTCTCTCTCTCTCTCTCTCTCTCTCTCTCTCTCTCTCTCTCTCTCTCTCTCTCTCTCTCTCTCTCTCTCTCTCTCTCTCTCTCTCTCTCTCTCCTCTCTCTCTCTCTCTCTGTCCCCCTGCTTCTCTCTCTCTCTCTCTCTCTCTCTCTCTCCACCTGTCCCCCTGCTTCTCTCTCTCTCTTCTCATAGGTCATCAAACAGGCTGTTTTACAAAGATTAAGCCTTGAACGTTTTAAAGATCTCGCTCTTCTACAGTTGAAGTCGGGAAGTTTACATACACTTAGGTTGGAGTCATTAAAACTCATTTTTCAACCACTCCACAAATGTCTTGTTAAGAAACGATAGTTTTGGCAAGTCGGTTAGGACATCTACTTTGTGCATGACACAAGTAATTTTTCCAACAATTGTTAACACTTATAATTCACTGTATCACAATTCCAGTGGGTCAGAAGTTTACATACACTAAGTTGACTGTGTCTTTAAACAGTTTGGAAAATTCCAGAAAATGATGTCATGGCTTTAGAAGCTTCTGATAGGCTAATTGACATCATTTGAGTCAATTGGAGGTGTACCTGTGGATGTATTTCAAGGCCTACCTTCAAACTCAGTGCCTCTTTGCTTGACATCATGGGAAAATCAAAAGAAATCAGCTAAGACCTCAGAAAAGAAATTGTAGACCTCCACAAGTCTGGTTCATCCTTGGGAGCAATTTCCAAACGCCTGAAGGTACCACGTTCATCTGTACAAACAATAGTACGCAAGTATAAACACCATGGGACCACGCAGCCGTCATACCGCTCAGGAAGGAGACGCATTCTGTCTCCTAGAGATGAACGTACTTTGGTGTGAAAAGTGCAAATCAATCCCAGAACAACAGCAAAGGACCTTGTGAAGATGCTGGAGGAAACAGGTACAAAGGTATCTATATCCACAGTAAAACGAGCCCTATATCGACATAACCTGAATGGACGCTCAGCAAGGAAGAAGCCACTGCTCCAAAACCGCCATAAAAAAGCCAGACTACGGTTTGCAACTGCACATTGGGACAAAGATCGTACTTTTTGGAGAAATGTCCTCTGGTCTGATGAAACAAAAATAGAACTGTTTGGCCATAATGACCATCGTTATATTTGGAGGAAAAATGGGGTGGCTTGCAAGCCGAAGAACACCATCCCAACCGTGAAGCACGGGGTGGCAGCATCATGCTGTGGGGGTGCTTTGCTGCAGGAGGGACTGGTGCACTTCACAAAATAGATGGCATCATGAGGAAGGAAAATTATGTGGATATATTGAAGCAACATCTCAAGACATCAGTCAGGAAGTTAAAGCTTGGTCGCAAATGGTCTTCCAAATGGACAATGACCCCAAGCATACTTCCAAAGTTGTGGCAAAATGGCTTAAGGACAACAAAGTCAAGGTATTGGAGTGGCCATCACAAAGCCCTGACCTCAATCCTATAGAAAATGTGTGGGCAGAACTGAAAGAGCGTGTGCGAGCAAGGAGGCCTACAAACCTGACTCAGTTACACCAGCTCTGTCAGGAGGAATGGGCCAAAATTCACCCAACTTATTGTGGGAAGCTTGTGGAAGGCTACCCGAAACGTTTGACCCAAGTTAAACAATTTAAAGGCAATGCTACCAAATACTAATTGAGTGTAGGTAAACTTCTGACCCACTGGGAATGTGATGAAAATAAATCATTCTCTCTACTATTATTCTGACATTTCACATTCTTAAAATAAAGTGGTGATCCTAACTGACCTAAGACAGGGCATTTTTACTAGGATTAAATGTCAGGAATTGTGAAACTGAGTTTAAATGTATTTGGCTGAGGCGTATGTAAACTTCCGACTTCAACTGTATATTTCTATCCCTTACCGCTGCACTCAGACACCTGACACAACTTGACCCACCCACTTCCTGATTTCTGACTCTCTTCGCTCTGATTGATTGGCTGTTGTCCCAGTGAGGGGGAGCCCAGGAGGGTGGAGCCTCTTGACCCCCCTGAGGGGTCGTCACCCGGGGAACGTGTGTTCGTTGAGGGGTACGAGACGGGCAAGCCGGACGACAAACTAAATCCAAAGAAGAAGACGTGGGAGAAACTACAGGTATGTCTGAATGATGCATAGTTAGGTCATAAAACAAGCTGTTTCACAAAGCCCTGTTGTCTCCTAAAATGAAAGGAAGATTAAGCCATGAACGTCTTAAAGATAATATCAATAAATTAGTGAATATGTCATTTGTTGACATCAAATCATTTAGATTTCTGCCCAAGTAGACATACCCAAAAGTAACTGCTATTCATGTGTAATTACATGATTCTGACATGCCAAAACTTTGTATATTTGGAAAGAAGACATCTGGGAGATGATGAGGAAATGATCAGAAGATAGATAGGAGTTACATAGTTCAGAATACACAAGATCAAGCACACACAAAATAGTAGTTTTATTTTTTTATTTTTTATTTTGAAAGTCATCTTTCATTGACAATATAAGTGAATTATTGATGCCCAGAGCTGGAAACACATCAGATGGCTTCCACAACATGTGAACAATATCAGAAAAAAATGGGATTGATAAACCTAACAACTAGAAATGGGCAGATGTTTTAGAAGTGGTGTCAGGTGTCGTCACGGGACGTATCCAAGTGTCCCTAAACCTCTCCAAAGTGCCATATGTCTGTAACTTAGATAATTCCAGTGCTATTACATATTTGCAATCCCTAAATGCTATTTGTTCAGTATAAAAACACAATTTCTACCATATCAACCTCACTTAAAAATTGTGGTGGTGTTATGGGGTATCCAGGGTACATTCAAGTGTCCTTTCAACCTCTCCAAAGTGTCCGAATGTGGTAATTGCACTGGATGTGCCTAAAAGTTATTGTTCACTATAAAAACTACATTTCTACAAAGCCAACCTCTCTCAAACATTGTGGTGGTGTCGGGGGACGTACAGGGGATATCCAAGTGTTTTTTCAACCTCTCCAAAGTGCCTGAACATTTAGCCTATCCAATGTGTTGGTCCCACATACAAATGAACGGTTTACAAAAACAATATAAAAGCAACAGATATACATTAAAAAATATATAAAAATGTCTTATCAAACACAAACTTGGTTACACACGTGTCCTTCGCTAAAAAAAGGTGCAAAAAATAGAAATAAGCTGAACTATTTACAAATGGCATTCATGTTTGTTTTACATCCCAGGTGTAGATGATTAGATTTCACTTTCACCGTAGCTTGTGCATGTTGTGATAGTATTTGAAGCAGTCCCTCTCTGCCAGGAAACAAAAAGCGAACTGGTTATTTCGCCCTCCCCAGCTGGTGTTGGATAGTGGCGCTCACCTTGAGTGGGGGGGGGGGGGTCTTGTGATGGTTGTGAGGTTGCTTTGAGCACCCCAATTCAGCCATTTCCAACACCAGCTGCTCTCGGGAAGGCCAACTGGGAGAGAGGGGTTTGACCTTTTGCTTTGGCCATCTGCTTGTGGAGAATGAAAGCATTTACTGTAGCAATGTCCACAAAGTGGTAAACAAAAGTCTTATACCACTTCCTGGTCTTGTGGAGGACCTTGTAGTAGCCTATCAGAGCATCAGATAGGTTGACACCCCCTCCCCCCATGCTGGCATTGTAGTCCTTCACAGAAACAGGAATGGGGACATTCTTCCTTTTTCAAAGACATGGTTGTTATTGAATGCCTTATGCTGTGTGGTGAGCATGGTTACTTCCCTAGTGTTCTTCCATTTCACAACAAGCAGCTTGTTAGTTCTGATCCAACGTATGGCCCCCCTCTCCGCTGTCTTTGTCATGTGGTTTACCTTGGTCTTGGGGAAACTCATTCTGTTAGGATGATGGTGCCACAAGGCCGTATTTTATTTTTCAAGAGGTCTATGGAAAGTGGATGTAGAACCATCAGACGGGGTGATTGACAGTGGGGGGGGGTGAAGACCTTGACCAGCGGGGGCGCTTGCTGGGGAGGGGTGGCTCCCAAACGTCGTCATCCAAATCCTCTGCATCCTCCACTCTGTGGTGAATAAAATAAAGGGAACAGTGAACTAATATGAAACATACACAATAACTACTTTGGAATTATATAACATTGAAATTACTTGTTACAAAAAAAACTAAATCCAAAGCACAAAAAGCAGACAAAACTAAATGCATATAGTAAAGTCATGAAAATAATTGTACTTACAGATCTAAAAGTGGATCCAATCCTTCTAGAAGCAATCTTCGTCGGCCAAGTCGAAATCCTCGTTGTCCAAATCGCTCCCTTGATCCGAGTCCGACCAGTATTTTATTCAAAGCTTCTACAGTGGCTTGCGAAAGTATTCACCCCCCCCTTGGCATTTTTCCTATTTTGTTTCCTTACAACCTGGAATTAAAATTGATTTTTGGGGGGTTTGTTTCATTTGATTTACACAACATGCCTACCACTTTGAAGACGCAAAATATTTTTTATTGTGAAACAAACAAGAAATAAGACAAAAAAGCATAACTATTCACCCCCCAAAGTCAATGCTTTGTAGAGCCACCTGTTGCAGCAATTACAGCTGCAAGTCTCTTGGGGATGTCTCTATAAGCTTGGCACATCTAGCCACTGGGATTTCTGCCCATTCTTCAAGGCAAAACTGCTCCAGCTCCTTCAAGTTGGATGGGTTCCGCTGGTGTACAGCAATCTTTAAGTCATACCACAGATTCTCAATTGGATTGAGGTCTGGGCTTTGACTAGGGCATTCCAAGACATTTTAAATGTTTCCCCTTAAACCACTCAAGTGTTGCTTTAGCAGTATGCTTAGGGTCATTGTCCTGCTGGAAGGTGAACCTCAGTCCCAGTCTCAAATCTCTGGAAGACTGAAACAGGTTTTTCTCAAGAATTTCCCTGTATTTAGCGCCATCCATCATTCCTTCAATTCTGACCAGTTTCCCAGACCCTGCCGATGGAAAAACATCCCCACAGCATGATGCTGCCATGCCCATGCTTCATTGTGGGGATGGTGTTCTCGGGGTGATGAGAGGTGTTGGGTTTGCGCCAGACATAGCGTTTTCCTTGATGTGTTTGCTTATTTCTTTCTTCAAGCAATGGCTTTTTTCTGGCCACTCTTCCGTAAAGCCCAGCTCAGTGGAGTGTACGGCTTAGTGGTCCTATGGACAGATACTCCAATCTCCGTTGTGGAGCTTTGCAGCTCCTTCAGAGTTATCTTTGGTCTCTTTGTTGCCTCTCTGATTAATGCACTCCTTGCCTGGTCTTTGAGTTTTGGTGGGCGGCCCTCCCTTGACAGGTTCGTTGTGGTGCCATATTCTTTCAATTTTTTAATAATGGATTTAATTGTGCTCCGTGGGATGTTCAAAGTTTCTTTTTATAACCCAACCCTGATCTGTAGTTCTCCACAACTTTGTCCCTGACCTGTTTGGAGAGCTCCTTGGTCTTCATGGTGCCGCTTGCTTGGTGGTGCCCCTTGCTCAGTGGTGTTGCAGACTCTGGGGCCTTTCAGAACAGGTGTATATATACTGAGATCATGTGACAGATCATGTGACACTTAGATTGCACACATGTGGACTTTATTAACTAATTATGTGACTTCTGAAGGTAATTGGTTGCACCAGATGTTATTTAGGGGCTTCATAGCAAAGGGGGTGAATACATGTGCACCAATTTGGACTATTTTGTGAATGTCCATTACATGAAATCCAAATAAAAATCCATTTAAATTACAGGTTGTAATGCAACAAAATAGGAAAAACGCCAAGGGGGATTAATACTTTTGCAAGGCACTGTATGTCGGTATATTTATTCATAGATGCCTTCTTTTTAGCTTCCTGTTCGATATTCTTAGTTTGTACCCCCCCCCCCCCCTCCCCCCCCTTGAGAAGCCATCTTTTATGCTAAAGAAATGAAATTCAAGCGATGAAATCTGTTTACGATGTAATGTAGTGTGCTCTGTGTGGCTCGTCTCTGAGCCAGGTAGCAATAGTTCCCATTACGCATAAAAGGTTCTAGGCCTTGCTTTGTCCCACCCAGGTCAACTGCATATCCCCGGAAAGCTTATCTCATTGGCTACAAGACTGTCAAGGTGCCGTAGCAGCCAATCCCCTGTGTAATGGACGACTACAGCTCGTAAACAGGCGACGTCATATTTTTGATGTGTAAAGGTATCGTCACTCGGTGGACATTCGATGCTGCCATTAAGTCATACATCATCAGATATCATTGGCAATAGGCTAGATTTGTTCCTACCAACCTAAGGATTAATTTCTTACCCCCCCCATGTAGCTAAAGCTCAAACACAGACCAAATCGAAGCTTACCTTGTAAGATGTTTGCTGTTTGGTGAAAACGTTGTGTAAAATAAAAAATGTTGACTCTCGGGGCTGGTGATCAATAACAGTAAGTCCACCTCATGATGAGTGGAGTCCCGGCTTTCGCTGTGCATCAACGTACTCCATGTATGCTTCACGACGCTAACCGGAATGATGATCTTCTTCTTCTGTGGGTTTATGGCTGACTACATCCAAAAGTTGTATTGCCGCCACCAACTGGACAATTTGAATCCCAAAAAATTAAATAAATCCATACTTAATAGTGATTCTAACAATCCACCCTAATAAAAATAGTACCGGTACATTGCCAAAACAAACAACTCCCACTTCTTCCTTCTTTTAGTTCTCCATATCTCCCTTCTCAGGCTTTTGCTAATATTCCATGTAACTCCTTTGCTGGGAAATCTTTCAGTCCACAAAAACCGCTCCGCCGCAATCACAATTATTTCAATCTTCCTAGATCTTTTCTCCACCTTGGCAGTGCCATTTATCACCGTAGCGATAAAGGCCACAAAGTCCACCTTTTTAACCTTTAAAATGTCAGGATCCTCTTGGTGTAAGGCAACCCCTGCAGCCTGCAGTGAAGGCCTATCCACCACCATGGACTCTTCTGGTGCAACATTCAAACCCTCAACCCTTTTTTCACAGCTTCTGCATATGAAATGCTCTGTACAACCCTGACTTTGGCCACCTCATTCTCCTCTACCCTTGTGGGGCGTTCAGAAGACGTGACATTTTCTTCACTTTTACAACACATATGATGTTTTCCACGTCTTGTAAATCTGGGCTTCTCCCTTCTGCAAACACTTTCTACACGACCAAAAGCTTTACAATGTTCACACTGCATTGTTCTTGGGATAAATGCTCTAACTCTGTAGTTAATGTACTCTAACCGCACTTCATTAGGGAGAGACTCCATTTCAAAAAACTAAACAACAGAAACTCTTCACTTTTCCGCCATTCACC